CCTCAAGCCGTGGTCTATTGGTTGGCGGGGTTAGGGAAGGAGGGAGGGAGAAAATGACCTAAAACAATCAAATGAAACACAACAGTCTAAGCTGGAGACTAACTAATAGACGTTATACATTATTTATGACTATGGAGAAATTGTTAAAGTGCCAATCCTTTGCAAATTAATAGACAGATCATCTGAATCAATAACCTGATGCTGCTTCCTCTCGAAAGCTTGATTAGCAGTAGAATCTCTAGATTTCTCGAGCTGCATCTTCAAATCTGAAACGCGCTTCCGAAGTTTCTCGCCTTGATCTGGCAGGTTTGAAATCAATGCCTGAAACAAAAGGTATATAATAAATAAGAGCAAAGTATAAACACTTCTCATAAATCTTCAAGCATTAATTTTACCTTGTTTTGAAGGGTTTGTGAAAGACGAATTATTCTTTCCGCAATCACTTCAGTTTTTTCTTGTAATTCTTCTTGAGGTAAGGAATTAACTGGCTGCAAAAATAACCTGCTATCTTTTGGGTTGAAAGCAAACTCAGCACTGAAAATCCAGTAAAACACAAATTTTCTAAGCATTATGCATTAACAAGCACTACGAAAGGATAATAAAATTCAAGGAATGCATAGTTCATACGCATGGTCTGTAGATTCAATGGACGGCTTTGATTGTGAGCTCTGAACAATTCTATTTCCGGTGAGACTGCAGTTGGTGACAGAGTAAAGAATCATAAATCCCTGAATAATTCTCCATCACCAAAATAACAACTAAAACATGAAACCAATGTTTTCAATCAGAACATTTGCAGGGAAAAAAAAATCCATTCGCTCTGCTTTAAACAAACTTTAAACTAGCTACGAGTAAAAGGCATATAAGAAATTATCACACATGTATTAATTACAATGCAATCAAATCAACATAAGTTTGAGACAAAGAATAACCTATCCGAGTAGCTATTCTCTTGTGTAAATGATATGGTTGAAGTTTTAGAGAACAGCAAACTGTGATGACTAACGCCAGCAATTCCCAAACTCTTTAGGAACTCAATATGGCCCTTCAGTTCGTCGCCCCTGGTGGATGACATAATATTAGTAGACTAAAGAATTAACATGAGGGAGTTCTACTGTAAACTCCTGTAAAGAGTGAGTTATAATTCCCGAAACAACAGAGAATAACAAATTAGAACAAGTTCAAACAAAACTTTAGTCTAAGATGCAGTAGAAATAAAGACTGAAATATAATTCAAAATAGCCGGGAAGCAGCAGGCCCAAAAATCAGGCAAAAGTGCATGCGTGGAGTCATTAAAAGCACAATGTAATAAGCATGTCCATGTTCCAGCTGTTACATCACGATGCTTTACATGATAAGCCCTTCTTTGAGCCCGACTTATAAACAAAAAAAATCTCTATGGCTGAATAATCATCAGATGGTTCCAGCTGTTACATCACGATGCTTTACATGATAAACCCTTTTTTGACAAAGATTGAAGCCAAAAATGAGCCCGACTTAAAAACAAAAAAAATCTCTACGGCTGAATAATCATCAGATACAATTATAAGTCTCTAAAGAATCATTTATAGAAAATATGCAATAATTAAATAAACAATTTGCATAATTCAACCAATAATTTTGGTTAAAAACAAGAACTGAAAATATTCATGCTTTAATCGATTTTGCATCACCTATTCACACACTAAATGAGCTCAAAAAAGTATTAAAAATATGAAGTTTACAGAAAATACTAACATCTTTGATACCATTGTGTTAAATAAGAGTGCCTCCGCAGAAACAAATACAAAAAATCACAAAATAAATGTAAGAGATCAATTACTACGAAAAAAACACCAAATATATGGGGATTGACTTCGGTAAAATTTTGATAATTGTAAAATATACATCAATTATCGCATTCCCTGAAATGCGAACGAATCAATTTTATAAAATTCGACACCTTGAGTCATCAATTTGACATATAGCATTATGTATGAATTATAAATGTATGGGGAGAAATAAATTGTTAAATATATGAACTAAATTAACCCATAATAATTCTCTAATCCCTCATTATTGTTCCCAGCCAACTCTCTCCTGCACTAAACCTTGCATGCAACGGCGAAGATGAGATTAAATGGTCAGGATTTAATAAGGAGAAGTTAAATATCACATTCCATTTCAATTGCTCACCTTCATCACAGTGGTTCCATTAGTTTGGAGCAACCAGCGATCATGGCACTGTAGAAAGTGCAATCCAGGCAACCAGCAAAGAGCAGTAGCTCACAGCTGGGGGTTTCGGTAAGAAATCTCTTAGAAACTCACTTCCACTATATCTAGAGCACTCTTTTCCTTCCATACGATTTCCTTTTGACATTTGCCATGATTTTTTGTTATTATTGCTAGGCGAGAACCGAATACTGCACCTCGGTAGGGCTGTTAGCAGGAAATTTGAGAAGAAAAAACGGAAAAGGGCAGAGGAAAGGCAGGGTGGAATAGAAAGGTATCACAGAGGTATATTTATGCCAAGAAGCCCATTTGAAGTATAAAATAATATGATTTATGCTTTGGGATTAAATCATGGCTTCATAATAATCTAAGGGATTAGTGATTCCGGATGGTTTACTCGACGCAGCAATGACCTTGAGGCGAGCTTTAAGAAACTCATTTACTCGACGCAGCAATGACCTTGAGGCGAGCTTTAGGAAACTCATCGTAGGGCTGCTCCGTAGGGCTGCTCCGTAGTTTCAGATGAAAAAATTCTTATGCTAAATTTAAAATTTGTAGGATTCTTATATGATTTCTTTTCACATATGACTGCATTAGAATTTTCTACATATTATTGAATACCTGCACAGTTTATATGAATGTCAGTTTGAACTAGCACTGACAATGACTATGATTTTTTTCTATTATATTAATATTATGAGCATTAACACTGTGATTGCAGGTCCCAAGCCCGGATGTGAAAAGTGGAGGATTGTGTTAGGTAGTCGACAACAAGCATAAAACTTGTCGAAAAAATCATGACATGAATCCTTTTGATCATTATGTAAGTGTTAGAGCGTCTCTTGAAAGCGACGCGATGTATAGCCTGAATACAGTGAAAAGTGAGCAAGGGCTGCTACACCGGTGCCCGGGTGTACTGTCAAATAAGCAAGGGTACTCACACTACGGACGAATGCAGATAAAGAAGTTAGTCTATTAATGAAACTAATATTAGGATACGATCTTGGAATATAGGCACTCTCAATGGTAAATTAATGAAATTAGTTGATATTACGATTCATAGGAAAATTAATATCTTATGTATTCAAGAAACTAAATGGGTTGGAGAAAAGGCTAAGGAGATTAATAACTTAGGTTTTAAACTTTGGTATTCTGGGAAGAGCGCACTATAAATGGTGTAGGTGTAATTATTGAAAAGAGTTTGAAAGATAATGTTGTAAAAATTAATAGAGTTGGTGATAGAATTATAACCCTTAAAATAATTATTGATACTAAGATTTTTAATATTATAAGTGTGTATTCTCCTCAAGTAGGTTTAGATACAAGATCTAAAGATAAATTTTAGAATGACTTAGAAGACTTGATACAAATGATACCACTTGAAGAAAAAATTTTTACTGGAGGAGATTTACATGGACATGTCGGAAGAGTGGTAGCATTATTATTCATAAAATATCACATCAAGTTTTTGACACCGTTGTAAAGCGGAGTCAATTTTATAAATTTTACACAACTATATTTTCTGAGATCAATAAGCATATGAAACATCGAGGTGGCTTATAAGTTCGAGGTGTGGGGTGGAAGGCAATGATGCAAAAAACCTTTAATCAACTTTTTTCTTATAGCTAAAAATATAAAATCAATATTCAATTTATAAGATGCCCTTTTCACTTCCTTAAGTTGTTGACTCCCCCAACCCTTCCTTAAAAGATTTGGTAAACAATAAAAAATACTACACTTTTAAACTTTCAGATACTACACCAATAAAATAACAAGTGTTATAACTGATAAGACAACCGATACTTACTTATAGAATGACGAAACACACTGCACACTGTTAATCGATAAGTTCAGATACTATATATCACTTATTTAAACATCACACATAGGTGCACCACACCCTGATAAATTCAGATACTATCTCATATGGGTACATTTTGCCTCTAACTTATAAACTCATATACTATTTGGGTTCACCAATCCATTAAATGATAGGGTTTAGGGTTGCCCGACTCTAGAGGTAATTCGTTGGTGACTTTTAATTGATATTGATAGATAGACTTCAATATATTAGTGGCGTGGGGGATCGAGAAAATGAGAAAAAAAAGAAGTCTAGTATGGGTCTAACCCTAAATTAAAATCTTATATCCCACTTTAAATTTTCATATGCTTATGAGCATCTTATTACTTATAAGAGTGGATCTAATAAAACACAAATTGATTACTTTCTTATGAGAAGAGATCGTCGAGATTGTAGAAATTGTAAGGTCATTCCAAGTGAGAATTTAAGTATTCAACATCGTTTATTAGTTCTAGATTTTAAAATGCAGAGTTGTAAAATAAAGAATACTAGGACTCGTCATCGTAGATTAGAATGAGGGAACCTAAAAGACAAATAAAATTATTTTTATGAGTAAAATTCAAGATTTCAAATTTTCGGATGTTCATGAAGAAGCAAATGTTATGTATGTGCTTGGAGAATCAAAAGAAAAAGTTTTTATAAAAAAAAAATAGTTGGTGGTGGAATAATAATGTGCAAGAAAAGTTAAAATGTAAGAAGTTATGTTATAAAGATTGGTTTAAATGTAAAAGCTTAGAGAACTGTGAAAAATATCAAACGGCTCGCAGTGAATCTAAAAGAACAATCTGTGACGCTAAAAAAGGGTGAAAAATATATATATAAACTAGTCAAACAAAGAAAGAAGAAAAGTAAAGATTTTATTAAAGAAGAAAATCAAAAAATACTTTTCTTAGAAAAACATATTCAACATAGATGGGTGAGTTTTTTTGATAAACTTTTTAATGAAGTTAATGAAAATACGATCAACCTTAGTGATCTTAATATCGTGAATAATAATAAAACGTTTCATTGTCACTGTCGCATTAGTAAAAAAGAAGTTGAGGAGCCTTTAAGGAAAATCAAGGGTGGAAAGTCTGTAGGACCTGATGATATCCCAATTGAAGTGTGGAAATATTTAAGAGATTTGAGAGCTTCTTGGCATACTAAACTCTTTAATATTATTTTAAAAACTAAAAAGATGTCTGAGGAGTGGATGAAGAGTATTTTGGTCCCCATTTTTAAGAATAAAGGATATGCACAAGAGTGTGCAAATTATAGAGGAATTAAGTTGATGTGTCATACTTTAAAATTATGGGAGAGGGTAATTGAACATAGGTTAAGA